CCCCCCCCCCCCCCGCACCCCCCCCCCCCCCCCTCCCACCCCTTCCCGCCCCCCCCCTCCCTTTTGTTTTTTTTTTATTATCGATTACTGCTTCGCCACCTTATTAGCCTCACAGTGTACGCAGATTGTGGCTGTTCCGAACCATCTCAGCGACGCCCACCATTTTCCCCGTATGGACACTAACAAGGAAAAGGTGGGGGAGAGAGGATGGACGGCGCGCTCTTGGGGTGGCGCGTCTCGGGACCCTTGGTCCAGGAGCAAAATGGTGTTGCGCTCGGACACCAAAAAAAATATTCAGACCAAGGCCAAGGTCAGGTTTTTCAAATCACCATTTCGTTCATTAGCTGGGCTTTCTGACCCAGGTGGTCCAATGGTTAGGACGTTCCCCCTTTTCTGGCGCTCGCGCCGGACAGATTGGGATAGATCAGGGTTCAAGTCCCTGCTTGGGCACATGGACGGGGCAACGGTCATCTATATTCGTTTTGAGTTGAGCTCGAATTGCGAACATTTGACCCAGGTGGTCCAATGGTTAGGGCGATTCCCCCTTTGCTGGCGTTAGCCGGTAAGATTGGGAAAGATCAGGGTTCAAGTCCCTGCCTGGGCACATATACGTAGACCTGCGATGGTTACATCCTTCTTTGAAGTGGAGCCGACGAGAGACCAGTGTACCTACAAGGTCATAAATAGTTTTTTCATTCTTCTTACCTCCCCTTGGTTGGTAAGAAGGGACATGACTCGGATACAAACAAGCCAATCATCATCAATCATAGCTGTGAGCAGCCTGTTGGGTGGGCGCAGTTGGTCAGAATCCCTTTTTGCACCCTGCGATTGGCGAGACAAGCTGGTCTTGTCTTGCCAGGTTTGGTGCGGTCAGTCAGGCGGGTTGATTGCGAGCGTCACACACACACCCACGCAACGTGACACATGGAACGAGTCCGGAAGTGTGGGGCCTTCTTGGCATGTCCTATCCGTGATGATCTGTCGGCAGCGGCCCTGGGTTGACGATAAGGCTTGATCTCTGTCTCTCCGTCTCCTTATCAGTTAGACTCGCTGTCTATCTGTATAACTTTCACTCTGTCGGTCTATCTGTGCTATCAGTGTGTCTGTCCGACGGTCTTTCCACAACAACTCACCACTCCTACAATCCCCCTCCTCACGCCACAACCTTCTGCCGCCCTCGCCGTCCGTGCCGCCATGCAGCTCACACCGTTCCTCGCCGCCGCCGTCGCCGCCGTCTTCACGGCCTTCGCGTCGCCCGCCTCCGCCGAGTCAATCACCATCATCCAGCCCTACTCGGGCCACTCGTACTCCTTCTCCGATACAATCCAGCTGGTCTGGTCCGTCTCCGGCAGCGGCACCAACACGGTTGTCTTCGACCTCGAGGACCTGCGCAACGGCGCCGCCACCGGCCAGGCCCTGTCCCCTTCGCTAGGCAACGCGTCCTCTTCCGCCACCACCTTCACCACCGCCGCCCTCAGCTCGCTGTTCACTTCCGCCGTCGTCACCACAGGCTCAAACTACTCCATCCGCGGCACCGTCGCCGGCACCAGCTACTACTCTCCCCAGTTCTCCATCACCGTCTCGGCCTCGTCCTCGACGTCCTCCACCACCTCCTCCAAGTCCTCCACCACTGGCGCCGCGTCCCGCTCCGTTGCTGCTGGCGGCGCCGCTGTTGCCGGCGTTGCCGCGGCCGCTGGGCTTGTCATGCAGATGGCTTTCTGATG